GAATAGAATAGAATAGAATAGAATAGAATAGAATAGAATAGAATAGATGAAGGGAAGGGAGAATAGAATAGAATAGAATAGAATAGAATAGAATAGAACAGATGAAGGGAAGGGAGAATAGAATAGAATAGAATAGAATAGAATAGAATAGAATAGAATAGAACAGAACAGATGAAGGGAAGGGAGAATAGAATAGAATAGAATAGAACAGATGAAGGGAAGGGAGAATGGAATAGAATAGAATAGAATTAGAATTCTTTATTGGCCAATTGTGATTGGATACACAAGGAATTAGTCTTGGTGCAAATGGTCTCAGTGTAGATAAAAAGAAAGGATACATTCGGCAAGAGTCAAGAATCATAAGGTACAATACTTAATAATAGTCACAGGGTACAAATAAGCAATCAAATCATACTAGGAAACAGTCAATATAGGTCGTAAGGATACAAGCCACAAAGTTACAGTCATACAGTCACAAGTGGGAGGGGATGGGTGATAAGGAGTGATGAGAAGATGAATAGTAGTAGTAGTGCAGACTTTGTAAATAGTTGAACAGTGTTGAGGAAATTATTTGTTTAGCGGAGTGATGGCTTTCGGGGAAAAACTGTCCTTGCGTCTAGTTGTTCTGGTGTGCAGGGGTCTATACTGTCGTTTTGAGGGAAGGAGTTGGAAACAGTTTATGTCTGGGATGTGAGCGGTCTGTAGATATTTTCACAGCCCTCTTTTGGACTTGTGCAGGATACAGATCCTCGATGGAAGGCAAGTTGGTAGTAATTGTTTTTTCTGCAGAAGACCCTAAAACATTCTAGACAAATGGCTGTCCTGTCTCTTTATTTGTTCCCTGGGACAGAGAGTGATTTCTCTCCATTTATCTGCCAGCTGGAGCTCTGCCTTTTAAGGACTTGTGCAATCGACTTTCTGCATGCAAAAGCAAGCCCCATACGCAACTCTTGGAAGTTTTCAAAGTCAAGCAGTCGAGGAGAGAAAAACCACTTCTTTGAGCTGGCTGGGAGACAAAGGCCCAAGCCGATGGGAATTGGAACAGGCTGAGGGGTGCTGAAAAGTGGTTAATCCAGACTTTGCCATGCAGCCAGCCTGGCTTGTGTAGGAGGGAAAGGGTGTGCCACCCAGGAGGGAGAAGTGATAGGGAGGCAGGAGAAAACCCACTCGAGGCAACAAGAAGCAACGCGAAAACGACATGTGGAGGGGAGGGGGAAAGATTTGCCACGGAGAGGTGTCGCATGAAAAACCTGCTTTAAAATATCTGAATGTTTGTTCCTTGCAGACTATGCTAAAGAACATCTGGCCCAGCTGCAAGAGAAGGCTGAGCTCATCTCGGGGAGGATGCTGCGGTTCACTGTTTTCTATCGGAATCACACTAAAGAGTATTTCCAGTATGTCAGGTAAGCATTTGCAAGGCCCCCCAAATCCGTGAAGGCATGGGGGAGAACCCAGGTGTGGATGTGGGGTATTGTGTCAATGACATCTACCACCCATGTTCACCGATCTCTTGTCTTCTTCATCCAAATTCTTCCCCTCCTGAGAGTTGTCAGGGCTCCAACAAATCCACCCTTATTCAAATCACAAGTCTCTAGTCGCGTCTCTCAGAGTAAAAACAAAATATTTTATTAGGAATGGCCATGTTGGCATTAGTTGGGTGCAGCCCACACTAAAATACATCATTCATTTCCCCCTTGACCCTGGTCTCCCCCTCCCAACCCCTGGATGTATATTCTCCAATGGGACACATCCATAGCCAAGAGTCATCAATCATGCTCTCCAGTAATATCCTTGCACGCCAACAGCTTTGGGCTGCCAAGGCGAATATCTAAGGCATTTGAGGAATGCACTGCTTTTCCCCCACTCCCTTTCTGATGGCAACTAAAATGACCAAAGGAGTATTTTTTTTTTAGTTGACAATAGCTATGATTAAAACATGGCTGGGAGGTGGAGTGAAGTGACTTCATTCCAAGAGCTAGGTTTGACTTAGATCGGGGTGTCAAACTCAAGGTCTGCGGGACAGATGCGGCCCTTGGGGTGCTTAAATCTGGCCTGCGAGGCTACCCTCGGAACAGTGAGGGACCGTCCCATAGGCAGGGTAGCCTCGCAGGCCAGATTTAAGCAGTTCCACGCTCCGTTTTCTCTGGCAGAGGTTTGCAGGAGGCCGTCACAGCTGAAAACGGAGCTCGGGAGCCCGTTTTCACTGGCAGAGGGCTCGGGCCACCACAGGCGCCTCCGACACAAGTGACATCAAGCTGACCATGGCCCCCCTGGCCACTCCCACCCTCCCCCCCCCCCCCCGAGGTCAAAGACAACCCTGATGCAGCCCTCAATTAAACTGAGTTTGACACCTCTGGCCTAGATGCTTTCAGTTGCCATTTCTGTAGTCTTAAGATCTAGTGCTTGGCATCTTCCATCTTTCAAATGTGTGGACTTCAACTCCCAGAATTCCCCAGTCATAGGGAATCGCTGGGGAATTCTGGGAATTGAAGTCTGCACATCTGAAAGATGCCAAGGTTGAGAAACACCGCTCCAGATTATACTCTTCTGATCTGATGGCTTGGAGCAGAGAGAAGAAAACCTCATTAAGGAGATGCTAATCATAGCATCCATATTTTTATATCCATCCATCATCCTGTTTTTAAAAAATGTCTTAACAATATCTTATCTTTTACAGTTAAAGCTTGTTTCAAATTCTCCCTAAGAAATGAGAATATAGTCACACTAACATTCCTCATTGTTCCCATACTGATCCACAGACATTAAATGTTAGCTTGTCCTTCCAATGAATTAAGATAACTCATCTCATCTTCCACCTTCCCATGCTTCTGTTGCTTCACAACAACGTCCTGCAGATGTTCTTTTGAACGTCAGAGATTGTATTCACCCTTTCCTGCTCCTAGGCTAAAACTCAGAACCAGCACATAACATGACCACTCATAATCACTACACCATGTGATCTTAGTTTACCCTTCCTCCAAGACTTAAATCATGACTAGACAATTCTTGCCCCCTTGGTTCATTATTTCAGGGATGTTTCCTGACAAAATCCCTCAATGCTTTCAACAGTGGCAGAGTTTCTAATGGACCATGTTTCCCTGAAAATAAGACCCGGTTGCCAACTCATAAAACATTTGGCTCAAGAATCATGATTTTATTAGAGCGATTGCTGGAATCCTGACATCGGTCTTATATATATATTTTCCACCCAAAAAGGCACCAGGTCTTATTTTCTGGCCCACTTCTGCGGCTGCTTGTTGCCTCTTGCGCATATCGCCCCCGGCCTCCCTTTCGCTGTCAGAGGCCTTCCGGAAATGTCTCTGCAGCCGATAACAGAGCTCCGGATTGTTCCTAGTAAGTAGGGCAGCTCCACCCCACCATCCCCACGCTAGCTTAATTTTTAACTGTGCGCCCCACGCTAGCTTAATTTTTAACTGTGTGGCCCTGGAGTGGATGGGGGCTTAATTAGGGCTTATTTTTTGGGGATAGGGCTTATATAGGGTGCATGTGTAAAAATCAAGCTAGGACTTACTTTTGGGGTAGGTTATATTTTCGGGGAAACACAGTACTTGAAAAGTTCTTAAAATTTCAGGGAGATATTCAGAAATGTATCTGTCCTGAAAGTAGGCCACATTCAACTGTATAGCACAGTCAAACATCAGCAGCTGACCAAGGGAAATGATTTATGACCTTCTGTATTGTGTTGTAAAATGTTTGTGCTTTTATGTTACAAAATGTTTTATGAAATTTGCCAAATTTCAATTCGAAGGACTTGGATGGGACCTGGATTTTGGATGCATCCTGTAATTTAGTCCATTTGAGGTACCTTGGTTCAAAACGTTTTGCCTTATAGTACATCAGTTTGCCCAGTTAAAGGTTCCAGATATGGGTCTTATTAGTAGTGTTTGGATAGATTCAAAATGCTCTTGCTTCCTCTTTATGTAAGCTATGACGTTGTGCCTGGCTGAGAGTCACCTAGTAAACTACGTAGCTGAGATAGGGTTTAGTAGGTCTTCCAAATTGAAACCTTAATTCTTTAATTACCATGCTAACTCCGATTTCTTCTCCCTGAGGTAGGAAAACGGAGGATATCTGAGGCCATAAGCCACCCAACCTGCTCTTAGCCACTGTTTAATGAACATTCTCTATTATTCACTTCCTGAAAATAATAGGTCTTGGTGACATGTAGCTATGAAGGCCTATCACCTACCTGGTTTCCTCCCAATTGAAAGGTTGGCCTGACTCCTAACATCCCTTTCCTAACTATCCGTGTCTCCCTTCTGGCCAGAATGCACTGTGGAGACGTCATGAAGCCATATTTGAAAGACAACAGTGGCAGCCATGGTTCACCCACCAGTGGCATGCTCCATGGCATCTTTTTCAGCTGCAATACTGAGTTCAACAATGGCCAGCCTCCCCAAGACTCCCCTTACGGCCGCTACCGTTTCCAGGTGCCCGCACAGCGCCTTTTCAGTCCCAACACCAACCTCTACTTTGCGGATTTCTACTGTATGTACACTGCCTACCATTACGTCATTCTGGTGCTGGCGCCAAAAGGTTCTGCTGGAGACCACTTTTGTCGGGAGAGGCTCCCCCAGTTGGACATTTCCTGCAACAAGTTCCTGACCTGCAGCATGGAGGACGGCGAGCTTATCTACCGTCATGCCCAGGATGTCATCCTGGAGATCATTTATACGGAGCCCGTTGACCTCAGTCTAGGAGTTCTGGGGGAGATCAGTGGCCATCAGCTCATGAGCCTCTCGACGGCCGATGCCAAAAAGGATCCAAGTTGCAAGACATGTAACATCAGCGTGGGGCGCTAGAGACAGGGAAGGGCAGGGAGGGAGATGGAACAGACACCAGTATGAGAGTTCTTGGTGAGCCCCGTGGCCCTTCAATGTATGTGTGACTATCTGAAAATGGGGTCCACCTTGGGTGATGGGGATGCTTGGAGAAGTCCCCCCCTTTTGCTGTCCTTGCCTCCTTTCTCTCCCCCTCTCTTCTTGCATGTTTCCTTGCCATTGTAAATAAGATTTTTGGATTTGGGAAGTGAGAATGAGAGAGAGCATGCAATCAGGTCAATGTTGAAGGGCCTGCATTTCCAGGTTTACTAAGGACAGCCCTCAATTTTTTTTTTTTTTGAGGTCTCTTCTCCAAGAAAACTATCCAGTTCTCTTCCATTTCCCAACCCAAGTCAAATGGACATTTCACTTTGCACAAACAGCAGGTAGTCTGGCCAGTTTCCTAAGCAAAATATATTAACTAGAAGTACCTCTCCATCTCCTACCTTGATCCTTTTGGCCCATTTCTCCACACAATGAACACTATTCCACCCTCCCAAAAACCGGGTTCTCTTCATCCGTAGCATGATTTACTTTTTTTAAAAGAAGTACGTTGAAGGTTGGAAGAAGACATCTCCCCACCACCTTCTCGAAGGGTCCTGGGTTCAAAGCACACCTGGCACAAAGACCACCTCAACTAGGCTTAGTGGGTAGCACAAGCTTAAACCTGGGATGGGCATGTAGGCTAAAGAAGGAAAACAAAGAAGGGATTCTTACGTAGAGATTCTTTCTTTCTGGGTTTTTTTTTTTTTTGCTCATTTCCATGGGGTGTGACTCCTTATTATTTATATCCTTTATTTATTTTGACTGAAGAAGACAAGGGGAGAGGGAACAACAGGTTCTAACAGGTGTGCTGGAAACTGGAATGCTGATGGGTGATGTTGCTATGCGAACATGCCCAGCTTGGCTTCCCTGTTTTCCATGATAACCGATTACAGATCCAGGCTGGCAAAGCTCATACCTGCTTTTCATTCTGGGTTGGGGTTCTGAAGAAGGGGAAGAAAGAAGTTGGAGCCACCTTCAAAGTGAAGGCAGGGGAGTAAGACAGAAAAACAAATCACTCAACAGATGGATGCTTTCCCCCCCCTCCACTGTTGTGATTCATTTTGCTTTTCCACCATGCAGGAGGCACTGAGAGCTCCAGGTTTCGTATCTTAAGTTTGCAGCTCCCATGAATCTGGAATGCGATTTGTGATTTCATAGGTTTGTGTGAACCCAGCTGTTGCGGTTTGCAAACCACGGTTGATGTACCTCGGAACGATGAGTCAGTAATTGTTGTTGGCTTAGGGAAGTTGTTCTTCCCTAAGCCAACAATAATGGCTAGGGAAGAACAACTGGCTGAGCATCATACCTGAAATAAACCACAAGCATAATGCAGGTAGTCCTAGACTTATGACCATTTGCTCAGCAACCTAGGGTCTTCCCTGCTCCACATAATGACTGCCATGGGGAGAGCCAGGATTTCGTGGGCACCTTTGCTTAAAAATACAGCAACAACAACGCCCACAATTCTGGGCTCGCTTGTGGTCATAAATGGAAGATTATCTGTCTATCTACCTTATATAGCTTTGTTTCCTTCTTTTTTCCAAAGAGACCATAGAGTGAAAGCTTCTCCCATTTTTGCTACTAACTTCAGATTTTAATCTCAGCAGCCAGGAGGTGCTGTAAGCACTGGGTATCCCAAGGACCATGACAGCTGCACAATTTTGAATAGAGACCTAATGTGCCATTCAGTGCGCTCAGCTTTATGGCTTCAAGATAACCATGGCAAGCAGGTTGGGGCATCCTCCAGAAGAAACTTCTCTTGGCTTGTAAGGAGAAAGCTTCATTTGCAGCCACTCCCCAGCTCTGCCGTCTTGACGTGCCCATGCCTTCCGTCCATCACCGGGAACCGGCTTCCTGGGACAGGCTAGACCTGCTCTTGACAGCTGCTCCTCACATCTGCCAACCACCCTCTTTATGCTGAAGGCTTGGCCTCCATCATAGGGAGTATTTTTTTTTTCCTATGGGTTTTCTTGGGTTGTATGAGTGATTGTTTCCTTTTTATCAGGGTATAGCTGCAGATAGCATCCTTTCTTTCCGCAGGGAACTTTGAGAAAACTTGAACGTCAAGAAATTCTGGGCCTTCCTTCTTTACTGGTCGGTTAAGATGTGACTTGAGATCTTAAAGAGAATTCATTTTGTAGCAGCAAGTTAGAAGCCTGAGGCCTGGGAGAAAGCCAGCTCCCCATTTAAAAGGCCTTTCCCATTCCAGAGGTGACTTGAAGGGAAAACACACATACACAGCCAACTTTCATAAGATACACTTGTTACCTTGAGAAGGTCATCTACCGAGAACACAAAGAGAAATAAAGAGGGTCACAAGAGGCAGAGAAGTCAGAATTTTTCCCCCAGGTCTTTGGAACCTCCAACAAAACCACCCTCCAAATCTATCAAGCCAAATACAGCCCAAGATCATGCAAACCAGTGTGCCAAAAAGTGCAAAACCACAACCATTCCTATTTTGTTTTTGAAGTTTACCCTGTTTTCCCGAAAATAGAGATCTATCCAAAAAATAAAACCTAGCATGTTTTTACACATGCACCTAATATAAGCCCTACCTCCCAAAAAATAAGCCCTACTTAAGAGCCTGTGCAACTGGCCACCCGCTCATTCTGGTTGCTTGCAGTGCCATGGCCAGGAGGTGGGGAAATTGCCCCATGCAACCCTACCAGCTTACCTGTCCATGCCCCGACACCTGCCTTGCAGTGGCAGCACCAGCAGCCATGTGCAACAGAAGCCCATGTGGCCACCAGCCCACTTCTGTTTACTCACAGCCACAAGGGAGCAGGAGGCTGAGCTCCACCACTCAACCTCACCTTGTGGCTTTGGCACCGGTGCATCACTCAGCATCCTGCTCTGTTGTATCCGCAAGTAAGCAGAAGAATTGAGTTGGTGACCACACAGGGTCCTGCTGGATGGAGCTGTTGGAACTACCGCCATGAGGTGAGGCAGGTGTCGGGATGTGGTTGGCCTAGCTGTGGGGCCCTGGGGTAATCTGATGCAGGGGACATGGGGTGGCTCCACCCCTGCCACCTCACAGTGGCAGCCTTGGTGTGCTGCGTGTCCTCCTACCCCGCCGCGAGCAAGCAGAAGAAGTGGGCCTCCCATATACAGGAAAATAAATAAGACACTCCCCTAAAATAAGCCCTACTGCTCATTTTGGGACCCAAAAGAAAATAAGACCCGGTCTTATTTTCAGGGAAACACAGGTAGCAAGCAGCACACTGTTGGGCTTTATCAAACCTCGCGTGACTTGTGAGGAACATTCAACTCTGTGAATTCAACATTCCTAGATATCTGCCTGAAACGCGTTCTTCACAATCCTGGTTGCTCTTCAGACTATATCCCTGAGGGAGCTGGGGAGGTGTTGACTGTAAACTGACGGATTATGGTGCAACCGATAGCTTGCCTGCAATTAATGATCGCATTTCCCTGCAGCTCAGCTATCTGCAGGAGAAACCTGGTTGCGTTGTTGTGGAGCAGACATGATGAGCAGGAGGCCTGTAGATGCTCCAAAGCTTCTGAAATCTAAGTGATTCCAAAGCAAAATGTTTAATTGTGGTTCTGTGGGCAAATCAAACACAGAAAGGGATTCTGATGGAAGAAGGCTGAACCTGTCACAGAAGGAATTCCACCCACAAGCTCCATATCAGAGCTTGATGGTTGTTCAATGAGGCTGGCTCCCTTCACCCCATGTTAAATTACTGGCATGTTCCCAGAATCCCAGCCTCCCAAATTTTAAAGATATAAGAACCAACAAAGTCAGGTCTTCAGGTGAAGAAGCCTCTCCATGGAGGTGATGGAGAAACCCTGGGTGTGTGTTTTTTTTAAAATTATTCTTGGCACAACCTTTTGAGCTTTCCAAGCTGTGAGGCCAACTGTATAGTGTTTGCTGTGTGCTGTAGCAGTACTGTGACACAAATGCTGCTAGCATTAATAATAAGAACCTGACTTTTTTTCTTTGTTAGCTGTTTATTTTCCCCTTCTCCACGTCTCCCTGCCTGTTGCAATTTTTGGCCAACTGTTAAGCGTCACTTGCTCCAGGAAATGCTGTCGGTATTTAGAGGCTGCCCTTAACTCTTCGCGGCTTTGTATGTATATGCTAAGAAACCCTAATGCTATTTGAGGCTGGATTTGTATCACGCTTTCTCCAGCTGTGAGAACACGGCAGCAGGAGGAGTGGTGGTGAGACTGTCATCAATTTATTTCAATCCGGAAAATGTTTCTCCATTTCGTACCCAAAGTGACAAGAGAATGTTCTTGCTACCTACAAACGGACTATGTGACAAGCAGGTAAAAGTTACTACAACTCTTGTTGCAGTCCTGCTACAAAAAGTTACTGCTATAACTACAATAATAAAGGTACAAAAACATGGAGAGAAATTACTTTTTCCCCCCTGAAGAGAGGCGGTGAAAGGTACCCCAATCAAGTGGCTCATAAGATATTAAATGATTAGATTGTGCTATAAGTACTGGATGGTAGAAATTCTCCACCAGCCAATCCTCAACCCCATTTGGAAAAGTCTATTCCTAGTGGCATTTTGTAATATTTATTCCCAAACTAAAGCTTAGTTCAAGGGTGCTTATTCTCAAATCAAAGGAATCTGGGCTGTGTCCCAACTTACGAGAGAGAGAGCAATCGTTCGTGATTAACTACCTAAAATGAATCTATTTAACTTTACACAGCAAAGCTAGAGAGAAGCAGATGGTTTTGTTTTAATCTTTTTTTTTCTTTTTCAATGTGGGAAATGTAATACAGAGGTCTTTTGTAAATTGGGTCAAGGCATTTTATTTGATGAGGCTAATCAGGTGATGGGTGAACACGGGCCAACTTTTATGAAAAAAAAAGGGAGGTATTTTTTTTAACCATCTGGAAGAATGTTCTAACAGATGGGGCATGTTATGTCACCTCCCTGTTGGCAGCTATTCTCCAGCATTGTTAAGAGCCATCTCCTCATTTTTTTTCTCCTAAGTACATAGCAAATCATGTGTTACCCTGCACATTTGAGAGTTCATTTTATTCACACTGATCCTCTTGTCCATTCTCAAATAGGAGCAGAACAACTTCGTTTATGCGCCAAAGTACTTCTAAACCTCAGCATAACTCAACCGTTGAAGGAAAGGGATGGAGATATGTAGACTTCCTTTCAAAAGCATAATATGGGAAAGGCTGTCCCAGTAAAGATTCTGAATACAAGCATATCACTAGAATTATTATTGCTGGGATGCACATTTGGGACAACCAAACAGGGAATTTCTTTAGAATATGTTAAGCTGAGCTGGAGAATGGAATTCTAGCATCCCCTGAGCCAGCAAAAGTTTCCAAATATTTAGCATATTTTAATTTGTTGATATGATGGTATAGGAAACCAGTTAAGTCCTTGACAGGAGAGTAAGCCTATTTACTATATTTAACTACTATACTCTAGATGGATTTATATTAAGTGCAAGTTTTGGTAGGTCCTTGGTACAGGTAATCCTCAACTCAGGACAATTGAGTCTGGATTTTTTGTTGCTAAGTGAGATAGTTGTGAGTTTTGCATATTTTTATGATCTCCCTTGCCACAGTTGTTAAGTAAGTTACACCATTGTTAAGTGAATCTGGCTTCCCACTGAGTTTGCTTGTCGTGTGAGCTTGGGACATTGCAACCCTCATTAATATGAGCCAATTGCCAAACTTCCAAATTTTGATCATGTGTCCACAGGGATGCTGTAACAGTTGTGTGGAAAAGGGTCATAAGTCACTTTTTTTCAGGGCAGTTGTAACTTTGAAACTGTAAGTTGAGGACTACCTGTATAACCTTCTTGAGCTTTGACTCAAAAAAACAACAGCAGCCAACTATTCATGTTGTGTTCTAGGACTAGAATAGGAAAGCCAATCCCTCTTAGAATGCGCTAGGACCGTGCAGTACTTGGGAGCACATTGGGAGTGAGGCAGAGGGAAACTCTAGCACCCATCTGCCACTCCCCAAAACTGCTACCCTCTTTCCCTAAGTTTGCATGACAGCTGTATGCAGCTGCAGCAAATCTTGGAAAACTCATTTAAGGAGCTGCTGTTATTTGCCCTGCCAAGCACTTTTTTTTTTTAAACCGAGTGGTGAACAACCCTGAAAAATGCCTGCCACGTATGGAGCATTTTAAAACAATGTACCCTTTCTATTCATCGGGATCCTCAATAATATTAAGCAAAGGGTATAGGGCAGACTTGGGAAAGGGGGATAGAAATAATCTTTTCAAAAACCTAGGGATAAACTACAAATAATTTCCCGCCCACTGTTTTTTTATTTATTACACCTTTAATTTTATAGCCCTTTCCCTCCAAGTCTGCATAATGTGAATTCAAGATACGTTAACGCTCAACGACCCCCCAAAGCACCTATTTAAGGGAAGGCGGCATTTGAAGTTGTTGCAGAAAAAGATCTTGGTTTGATTTTTGGCAGCCTAGGAAGGGCTGCCAGAGATGCTTGTTTTCATGCTGGACAATGACAGCTGAGCAAGGGAGACTTTCTATATCAGGGGTGTCAAACTTGATTTCTTTGAGGGCTACATCAGGATTATGCTTGACCCCAGGGGGGGGCCAGCAAGTTGGGTGTAGCCAGCTTGATGTCACTCATGTCGGGTGGTGCCTATGGGGCCCAAGAGCTCTCCCAGTGAAAATGGGCTCCCAAGCTCCATTTTCAGCTGGGCAGCCTCCTGCAACCCTCTGCCAGCAAAAACGGAGCTCGGGAGGGTTGCCTGCAGCCCTCCCGAGCTCCATTTTTGCTGGCAGAGGGTTGCAGGCCAGATCTAAGCACCCTACTGACCGGATCCGGCTCTCAAGCCTTGAGTTTGACACCCCTGCTCTAGATGTCTTCTCCGGATGGACAATGGTTTGATCCAACACCAAGTTTGCCTATGGTGCTAACCCATTATAGCCAAACTATAGGATGGCCTTTACTGAAGTGGGAGCTATTAAATAGGGGACCTCAAAACTACACCATTGATACATCTCTTTCATAGTTTTCAAGCTGTGTGATCAGAGATCCCTCAGTAAGATCAGTTCTGGAGAGCAAGTCTTTCGGATGGGCGTCTTCCCTAGGTCCCATCGTTTATCCTACAGTGCAAAGAAATGGGAGAATTCCCCAGCTGAGGAATTCTGGGAGTTAAAGTCCTACAGTTGCCAAGTTTGGTGATCCCTGCCTTAAAACCTCTCAAGTTTTCGTGGTGTATTTGAAAATACATAGCATCTGAAAATACATCTGAAAATACATAGCTTTGTATATGATGTATGCCATGAAACATGCTGTAGAAGGTTTGTCAACATGTTGAAGGCTTTTGGGGTCTCGTAGGCGCTGACTGTTTTATGTAGGAACTTACCCCAAAGGTAGAAGACTTAGAAATATCATTTTTATCTCTGAAGTTAATAAATTATTTCCTTCCTTCCAAGGCAATTTGGGAAGGTAGAATTTTAATGAAGATTGCAAAATAGCAAAAAGAGATCATCCCTTCTCAAATACCAAGATCCTACTTTAGTGTCCTTTGAACTAAAAGTCTCTTGCTGTTGGCTCTGTTGGCTGAGGATGATGGAAGTGGGTGTCCCAGCCATCTGCAAGAAATGGAGCATCTGCTCTGCTCCTATCCTAATGACTTCAGGTAAGCATTTGGACATTTCAGGAATTGTCTGAGTCTTCAGCAATTCCTGTTTTGTGTGGGACCCGTCTAAGGATCAAGATCTTTGGCGGCATTTCAGGTAGAAAGCATCAAGCCTTAGGAGGAAGGAATCTTTGCCTTGACTTCCTGGTTGCGAAGTAGCCTCACGGGTTGGCCATTTGATGATCACAGCCTCTTCCCCATCACCCTCCAAATTCTTGCATGTGGCTGATAAAATTTCAGCATGGCAGTCACGCAACAGCCCAAACTGGATTTAAAGTGATGCTTTTCCAGACTGTATGTATGATGCACGCTGTAAAACAATACCTGAAGCAAAAAAATGTGCTGTGCTTACAGTGTGTATTAATAAACAAGAACCTGTGTTGAAACATGTCTTCTTTGGGTTTTATTTCTTTCTACCCTGCCTTTCTTATTTTTGATAAATAATCCAAAGACCTTCTCTCTGCTTTACATTTATTTTCATCCTGCCTTTATCATCTTTATCAATAACTCAAGGGGGTGAACATATCTAATACACCTTATTTTCCTAACAATAACAACAACACCGCAAGGTGGGTTGGGTTGAGAAAGACTAACTTGGTCCTGCATCACCCATCTGGCTTTCTTCCCTAAGGGCATATTAGAACTCACACTTTCCTGCTTTCTAGCCTGGTGACTTAACCACTAGACCAAACTGGCTCCCAATAATAATGTTATTGTCCATCCCAACCCTTAAAAAAATCCACAATTCACTTAATGACTGGCAGATTCTGAGCTCAGCAGAAACACATAATTATACCAATCAGGAAGATGCGCAGTAGTAATCCACGTTTCTACTTATTTTTTCCCCCCATTTATGCCATTATCGAGATGATCAACAGGATTAATCTTTGCATGGGAGGACACCAAGGCTGTAGATGAGAGTGAAAATGAAAATAAATGAATAAATCCTGGAAGAAGAAGCAGCTAGCAAACCATGTACATATTGTTGCCAAGAAGAGTGCGGGGTTGTGTGTCTGAACTCACAAGGCCATAAAAAACCCATAATGAAAAAATATCTCCTTTAGGAGTTCCAGCCCAGGTTGGACAACTGCTCTTCTTTCATGTCATAACCTTTTATTGATCCAAAAAACAAAACTTTGGGCAGCTTTTAAAGTTCTCATGTGCAGCTCTCTTGTCTCACCTGGCTTGCTCACCTGTCACTCTTAATTTGGGTGAATGTATTCTGTTTAAAACACACTTTTCCATTTATCCTTGTGCTATCTGAGCTTGATTGTTTTCTTGCAGACATTTTATTACCCTAGCACTGAAGATGTTACCTCCTGCTCAAGCAGGGGGTTGGGCTAGAAGATCTCTAAGGTCCCTTTCCAGCTCTATTCTGATCCACCGGTTGATTAAATTTCTGCAAGAAAACAACCAAGTTCAGAGACCACCAAGATCACCCCACCAGTTCAACCCTGAGCTAGAAATATTTTCTTGATATTGAATCAGAACTAGTAATATTCATGTCATCTCCTTGAATTATATTATTGATATTAAAAGCAGGCTGTTTCAGGGGGAAAAAGATGGGAAAGAATATATAAATATGTAGTTCAATGTCTAAAGAATCCTGTAGTTGGGACTTGGTAGTAAAAAGCTTATTCAGATATAGAAAAAGTACTATATTTCTCAGAGTACAATATATCACAGTTTTCGTCACTGTATCTATTTCCACTGCCCTCCTAATCACTAAAAAAAATAGTAATGGTTACCATTTTTAGATTTTACCATTCTAGAATTTAGGCACTGTAGTTCCAAAGAAAGTAGGATGTTAATTACAATGGGTTATACACAAGAGAATATGCAAGTGAATTAAGATTTGTATTATCAAGAAAAGAAGAACAGCTCTTTTTACATTCTTCATCAGATTTTCTAAAATCCCCATTTATTATCACAGAAGCTCAAGAGCTGAAAAACTCACATCACAACCTTAAGACTAGAGTCTATTTAGACCCATGCCTACCCTGTTTTCCCCAAAATACGAGCTACTCTGAAAGTAAGTCCTAGCTTGATTTTTACACATGCGCCCAATATAAGCCCTACCCCCTAAATAAGCTCTAATTAAGATCCCGCCCACTGCAGAGTGGAGCTGCTACTTACCTTTGGGCAGTTGTAGCCAGGCCTCGCACACCCCAATACCTGTCTTGCTGGCCCATTTCTTCTGCAGCCGGAAAGGCTGTCAAGGCTTTCCTGAAGGCCTCCGTAGCTGATAACAAAGTTCCGGATCGATCCAGAGCTCTATTATGGGATGCAGAGGCCTTCAGGAAAACC